CCCCCCCCCAGTTCGCTCCCGTCTTTGAAAGGTAAAAGAAAAATTCTTTTATTAGTATACGATCCACCTGCATCCCAGCCCCCACCGCCCCAAGTACCTTCACTGTGCAACCTTAATTCTGGACTCTTGTGAGAGAACCATAATACCCTATCATATATTGCTTTTAAACTGTTCTCTCCCTCATCTGTTTGAATCTTTCCTATTCCTTTATAAACAAGCCCTCCAACCCCCCCACTGCCCCAATTACCCACTAAACTCTCCTATTCTAGTGATTTCCACTCTTCCCCACTTCCCCATTCATTTTTGGACATTTATACACATCTATTAGTTATCTTTCTGTTTTTATAATAGTGGTCTTATGCAGTATTTGTTCTTATGAAACTGAATTAGTTCACTCAGCATAATGGTCTCTAGACTAGCCATTTGGTCTTACAGAAACTTTTTTCTGTAATTCAGCTAATCAATTTATTTAGCAAATATAGACAATTGTGGCTATCTCATAAAATGTTGTTGTTGTGGTGTACCATAGAGCCAGAACTTACCCATAGCTGACCCTCCAGCATGTTTTCAGAGGCAGTTAATTGCATGGGAGAAGACTGCCCATAGAGCAGCTGGTGGCCTCGAACCACATGCCTTTGGGATTGCAGCACAGCCTCTTGCCACATAAAATTTTGTTGATCCCTTTTAATTAAACATATTCTTGGTGGAAATTTGTTGTTGTTGCTGTTGTTATGTGCTTTGAGTTGCCTATGACTCATAGGGACCCTGTGAACAAAATCTCTGAAGCCTAACCTGTCCTGAGCCAGTCTCACTGACTCTGACACATCTATATCCATTTCCCTAGTTACTGTATCAATCTGTCTCATCCAGAGTCTTCCTCTCCTGTGCAAACCCTCCACCCATCCGAGCATGATGTCTTTCCCCAAGGATTGGTCCCTCTTGGCCACATGCCCAAAGTCTGTGAGACAGAGCTACAAAATCCTAGCCTCCAAAGAGAAACATGGTTTTACCCTCTCCAAGACAGATCTATTTGTTTTCTTTGCAGTCGGTAGTATGTTCAAGAATCCTTTCCACCACCACAACTCAAAGGCACCAATTCTTCTGTCATCCTTAGTTATTGTTCAGCTCTTTGATGCATAGCAAGTAATTGCAAAGACCATGGCCTGGATCAAATGCACCTTAATCTCTAGACTGACATCATTGCTTCACAATACTCTGGAAAGGTCCCTGACAGATTTACCTAATCCAATTTATCTTTTGACTTCCTGATTGCTGGGTGCCAAAATTGATGATTGTTGAGCTGAGCAAGCTGTACCTGTTAACAACTTAAATCTCTTCTCTTCTCTTGGTACTGCCAATTGGCC